TAGTGTGGGAGGATGGTGTGGTGGAAAAGAGGTGGGCGGTGTGGAGAGGATGGTGATGAGAAGGGTGGTAGTGTGGAGAGGGATGTGGTGTGGAGGGTGATGGTGTGGAGAGGGATGGTAGTGTGGAGGGATGGGGATGTGGAGGGTGTGGCGGTGGCTTGGAGAGGGATGGTGATGGAAGGGTGGTAGTGAGGGGGATGGTGGTGTGGAAGTGGGGTGTGGAGAGTGATGTGGTGATGGGAGGGTGGTAGTGGGAGGGATGATGAGAAGAGGGGTGAGGGAGGGATGTTGGTGTGGAGGGTGGCGGTGGAGAGGATGGTGATGGGGAAAGGTGGTAGTGTGGAGAGGTATGGTGGAGGTGTGGAGAGGGTGGCGGTGTGGAGAGGGATGGTGGTGTGGAGGGTGGCGTGTGGAGAGGATGGTGATGGTGAGTGGTGTGGAGAGGGATGGTGGTGGGAGGAGGCAGCGGTGTGGAGAGGGATGGTGGTGGAGGGTCGGTGTGGAGAGGGATGGTGATGAGAAAGGGTGGTAGTGTGGAGAGGATGGTGGTGTGGAGGGTGATGGTGTGGAGAGAGGGATAGTGGTGTGGAGAGGATGGGGTGTGGAGGTGAGAGGTGTGGAGAGGAGTGGTGATGAGAAGGGTGTAGTGTAGGGGAGGGATGGTGGTGTGTGGAGGGCAGTGGTGTGCAGAGGGATGGTGATGAGGAAAGGGTGGTAGTGTGGAAGGGATGGAAGTGGTGTGGAGGGTGGCCGGTGTGGGGAGGGATGGTGCTGAGGAAGGGTGGTGAGTGTGGGGAGAGGGGGTGGTGTGGAGGGTGGCAGTGTTGAGAGGGATGGTGGTGTGGAGGTGGCGGTGTGGAGAGAGGGATGGTGATGAGAAAGAGTGGTAGTGTGGAGGGAATGGTGGGTGTGGAGGATGGTGTGTGAAGAGATATGGTGATGAGAAGAGTGGTAGTGTGGAAGGATGGTGGTGTGGAGGGTGGCGGTGTGGAGAGGGATGGGTGGTGTGGGGGGTGGCGTGTGGAGAGGGATGGGTGGTGTGGGGTGGCAGTGTGGAGAGGGATGGTAGTGTGGAGAGGTATGGTGGGGTGGAGGGTGGCGGTGTGGGAGAGGGATGGTAGTGTGGAGAGTATGGGTGTGGAGGTGGGTGGTGGTGGGAGAGGGATGGTGATGAGAAGAGGTAGTGTGGAGAGGGGATGGTGATGAGAAGGGTGGTAGGGGAGAGGCATGGTGGTGTGGAGGTGGCGGTGTGGGAGAGGGATGGTGGTGTGGGTGGTGGGAGGGAGAGAAGGATGAAGGTGGTAGGTAGGGATGGTAGTGGTGTGGAGGGCGGTGTGGGAGAGGATGGTGGTTGGAGAGGGATGGTGGTGGGAGGAGTAGTGGGAGAGGATGTGTGAGGGTGGCGTGGAGGATGGTGATGAGAAGGGGAAGGTGTGAGAGGAGGTGTGGAGGCAGGGGAGAGGATGGGGATGAGAAGGGTGGTAGTGTGGGAGAGGATGGGTGGTGTGGGAGGGGAGGTGGTGGAGAGGGGATGGAGATGAGAAGGGGTGAGTGTGGAGAGGGATGGTGGAGGGTGGCGGTGGTGGAGAGGATGGTGATGAGAAGGGTGGAAGGAGAGGTATGGTGGTGTGGGAGGGTGGTGGGAGAGGGGATGTAGAGGTGGTGTGGAGAGGGATGGGGGTGGGAGGATGGTGGTGTGGAGAGGATGATGAGAAGGGTGGGTAGTGTGGAGGGGAGGGTGGTGGTGGGAGGTGGAGGTGTGGGAGAGGGGATGGTGGTGGGAGAGGATGGTGATGAGAAGGTAGTGTGGAGAGGATGGTGGTGTGGAGGGGAGGCTGGAGAGGGATGTGATGAGAAGGGTAGGTGGAGAGGGATGGTGATGAGAAGGAGTGGTGAGAGGGGATGGTGATGAGAAGGGTGGTAGTGGGGAGGATGGTGGTAGGAGGGTGGTGGTGGAAGAGGGATGGTGATGAGAAGGGAGGGGTGGGGAGAGGACTGTGGGAGAGGTGGTGGTGGAGAGGGATGGTGATGAGAAGGGTAGGAGAGGATGGTGAGAGGAGTGGTAGTGGGGAGGGATGGCAGTGGAGAGGGATGATGGTGGGAGGGTGGTAGGGAGATGGATGGTGATGAGAAGGGTGGGGAGAGGGTGGGAGGGAGGATGGTGTGGAGAGGGAGATGAAGGGGTGGAGTGGGAGGTAGGTGTGTGGAGTGGTGGTGGTGGAGAGGGGATGGTGGTGTGGAGAGGGATGGGGGTGGGAGAGGATGGTGATGTGGAGAGGATGGTGATGAGAAGGAGTGGGAGGGATGGGGGTGGAGGAGAAAGTTGAGAGGGGATGGTGGAGGAGATGGTGTGGAGGGTGGTGTGGGAGAGGAGGGATGAGAAGGGAGGGAGAGGATGGGGAGGTGGTGGTGGGAGAGGGATGGTGTGAGAGGATGGTGGGAGAGGGATGGTGGGAGGGAAGGTGAGAGGGGTGGGTGGAGAGGGATGGTGCTGTGGAGAATGATGGTGGTGTGGGAGGCATGTGGGAGAGGAGGTGGTGTGGAGAGGGAAGGTGGTGGGAGGGTGGTGTGTGGAGAGGGATGTTGGGGTGGAATGATATGGTGATGAGAGGGATGGTGGTGAGAGCCGGTGGTGTGAAGAGGGCTGTTGATGAGAGGGATGGTGATATGAATAGGTTGGTGATGAGAGGGATGGTGGTGAGAGGGTGGTGGTGTGGGGATTGATGGTGGTGTGGAGAGGATGGTGATAAGAGGGATGGTGCTATGAATAGGGCTGTGATGAGAGGGATGGTGGTAGAGAGGGTCTGGACAGGTGGTGGGAAGAGGCCTGTGATGAGATGGGTGGTGGTGAGAGGGGTGGTGTGAAGAGGGCTGGTGATGAGATGGGTGATGGTTTGAAGAGGAATGGTGATGAGAGGGATGGTGATGAGAAGGCTGGTGATAAGAAGGCTGGTGATGAGATGGATGGTGGTACGGAGGGGGATGGTGATGAGAGAGGGCTGGTGATGAGAGGGGTGGTGATAAGAAGGCTGGTGATGAGGGAGGCGGTGGTGTGAAGAGGGATGGTGATGTGAGAGGGCTGGTGATGAGAGGGGTGGTGATAAGAAGGCTGGTGTTGAGATGGATGGTGGTATGGAGGGGGATGGTGATGAGAGGGCTGATGTGGAGAGGGCTGGTGTGGAGAGGGATGGCAATGAGAGGGCTGGTGTGTAAAATAGAACGAAATGAAAGATGACTAACAAACTCTATACTCTCTCTCTCTCTCACACTTTCTCCCTCTCCCTCCCACTTTTCCACATAAATTCAAATTAACAAAATTCAGCAATGAACTAAAAACACGACAAAAGCAACAAGCGCTTACTATATTCCTCACCTCGGGATATGTATACGTCGTGTAGTCACCATTAAGGACCGATTTCAACCCTGGTAACTAATTTCAGCGTCTGGTAGTGGCGCCTCCCTGTTAGGCCAAACTACATCACGACAAATCTAATGGGAGCTGTGTTTGTATTTGTAATGGGTTTCTGCTAGTATTACCAATAGATGCTGTGTGTGTATAATAATAATAATAATAATAATAATAATAATAATAATAATAATAATAATAATAATAATAATAATACATAATAAACGGTTTATTAATAGAGTTGCAGCCGGTGGCTGAAAATATACAGTATATACAATGTGTGTGTGTGTGTGTGGTATAGGCGGAAGAGGTTACCACCATGGGAACCCAACGACTACACCGGCGACAAAGGCAATGCCTGATGGACAGACTACCAAGGCAACTTTCCCTCTGCATTCGTTGCAACACTTGCACCACTGGATCAGGATAGGGAGACCCCAAGATGTATGATTGCAACCAGCGTTCCTGTCTCACCATTATCCAGCTCATCATCATCAAAACCCCTATACCCCCAAAAGTCATTGGTCGACGGACGAGTGGCGACGGGGACAGGCAGAGATGACTGCCTGGAGTCTCTAGTCACAACTCTGCACATGGGCGGCACTGAGAAGATGGTTGTTTATGTACTAGGATCTAGGCAGCAATGCAATCCGGTTTTGTCTGTACGACTGAGCAGCCCTTTCGAGGAGCCACTCTGCTTACCCTACAAGGGGAGAGGGCTAGAAAAGGTGCCCTAAACATAGCCTGCCTAAAAAAAAAAGACCTGACTGGGCAACCGTACCCAGTAAGGTCATCCTTATGCGGTCGAAAACACAATCAAAATCACATATCCAAACAAAAACTAACTATACAACCTCTTACGGTCGGTGCGTGGAATGTCAGGACCCTTCTGGATACTGGAACAAATGAGCATCCTGAAATAAGAACCGCCCTTGTGGCAAAAGAGCTGGCTAGGTATAACATCGACAAAACAGCCATTAGTGAGTCCCAGCTCCCAGACGAGGGTCAACTCACAGAACAGGGGTCTGGCAATACCTTCTTCTGAATGGGTAAGCCCTCTTTTTTTCTTTTTCCTTTTTTTTTACGGGAAGAGCCCACTCGGGCATAGGTCGAACGACCCACAACGGGGCCTAGGGGCGGAGAGAAACCGCATTTATGGAGTTGGCTTTGCCATTCGCCAACGCATCCTACACAGGCTAACTGATATGCCTATTGGGATCAACGAGCACTTCATGATGCTCCAAGTCCCACTGAATCACTGGATGCAGAGGATGACATCAATAAGGCCTTTTACGCCGACCTCGACAGAGTGCTAACTTCTATCCCCAGAGAAGATAAGGTTGTGCGCCTTGGTGACTTCAATGCCAGAGTTGGCAGAGATGCTGACATTTGGCAGGGAACCATAGGGAGAAATGGACTAAGCAAGTGTAATCCCAACGTCCTAATCCTCCTCAGCATGTGTGCTGCACAGAACCTCACTATCACCAATACCTTGTTTAGGCAGGCCGACAAGTTCAAGGGTACGTGACAACACCCACGATCCAAACACTGGCATCTCATTAACTACATCATTGTCAGAAAAGAGATCACCGAGATGTCCTTATCACCCGTGCGAAGTGTGACTCAGACTACTGTGACGCTGATCATCTGCTCGTCAGACCCATACTATCACTTCATGTCGCCCCAAAAAGGCGAAGCAAGCCTTCAGAAGAGGTTTTAACACTAAGCGTCTGGAGGATCCAGCGGTAGCACTTACTTTCAGAGAGCAGCTTTAACATAGGCTGATAAACAACCTGACAACAAACAACCCAAATCCCAGTGACGAATGGAATATTTTCGACACTGCCATGACAAAATCCTGCAGAGAGACCCTCGGCCAGATTGAAAGAATACACCGGGACTGGTTGATGAAAATGACCCAGCAGTCAATGTACTTGTCGATGATAAACGTGCACTTTAACTGAGTGGCAGAACAACCCTCAGTCTCGGACCAAAGCTGATATCTTCTGCAAGAAGATAGCAGAGGCCCAGCGGGAACTTCACAAACTAAAGACCGCCTGGTTTTAAAATAAAGCATGTGCAATACAAAAAATAGCAGATCAGCAAAAGATGCACGAATTTTTCAATTCCACTAATACCTCTCCGCTCATCCGACTGTAACTTCATAATTAAAAAACTGAAAGCCTCCTTCAGTGCTGGAAAGAGCACTACCATTCACTGCTCAACTGAAACATCGATGTGGGTGTCCTGACTACCCAGCAGGTCCATTAGAATCTAGTGCTGACCCACCTCAGCTCTCCTCCATCCTTGGATGAGGTAGCTACTGCCATCAAACAGATGAAAAAACACAAAACCTCAGCGCCTGATGGAATCCCAGCCGAGGTGTATAAAGCAGGAGGACCATCTGCTAACAAGCCGTCTCCACTCTCTCCTGGAGAATATATGGGAAAAAGAAGAAATCCCCCAAGCTCTTAAAGACGCCTCCATCGTCAATATTTATAAGAACACGTGAGACCGGTCAGACGGTGGCAACTACCACAGGATCTTGCTGCTGTCCGTAGCTGGCAAGATTATCGCCCGAATCCTCCTCAACAGACATCTTTCTGAAGCGGAAAACCTCCCAGAATCTAAAAGCGGCTTTAGACCATCACTTGGCACCACTGACATGATCTTTACTGCCCGTCAGATACAGGAAAAGTGCAGAGAACAGCATAGTGACCTGTACATGGCTTTCACCGACCTTCGACTCGGTCAACAGGGAAGCCCTCTGGTGGATCCTCAGCCGTTTTAGCTGTCCACCAAAATTCATCCCCATTGTGAAGCAACTCCACGATAGCATAGACGGCAGTGTCCTGCACAATGGTACCCAGTCTGAGTTCTTCCCCATCCTAACGGGGGTTAAACAAGGTTGTGTACTGGCACCAACTGTCTTATCCATTTTCTTGGCGGCATTACTTACTCGCGCCAGCGCCAATCTAGCCGGCGGGGTGGATATCGAGTGCCGGATGAATGGTCTTTTCAATTTAAGATGACTTCAGGCAGGAACAAAGGTGTCGGAAGCTTCCGTTGCTGAGTTTCGGTATGAGGACGACCTCATCCTTGTCGCTCACAATGAATGCGACCTACAGGAAAGCCTGAACACCTACGCAGATGCGTATGCACATTTCGGCCTTGAGGTAAATGTACATAAGACTCAGATTCTCTTTCAGCTTGCCCCTGGTTCAGCCACACCTCCACCATCCATCCAGCTTAACGTTACTACCCTCTCTATTGTTATCCACTTTCGGTATCTCGGCTCCCACCTGTCCACCACTGCGGACATTGATGAAGAGATTCAGTATCGGATCAGATGTGCATCTGAAGCCTTTGGCAGACACCGAAACCGTGTCATCAGCTGTAGGGAGCTGAAATTATCTACACAGTTACATGTATATCGAGCAGTGGTCCTCCCCACCCTGCTATATGGCAGCGAGACATTGGTCACATACAAGAGGCACATCACGGAACTTAAAAATGTTCACCTCCGAGTTCGCTGGGAAGACAAGAGAGCAAATCCCCGTATTCTTGCTGACACCAACTGGAAAAACATCGAGGCTACCATTATCAATGAACAACTATGCTGGACTGGCCATATTACCCGCATGGACGACAGTAGACTGCCAAAACAGAAACCTTACAGTCACCTAACGAATAGTAAACGTAACGCTGGCGGGTAACTGAAAAGGTGTAAGGATAGTCTTATGACAAAGCTGAAAAAGTGCCAAATCAACCCTCTCATTGCGAGAATATTACTCCATAACGTAAAGCTATTAGGATCACCACACATGGTATCAATACTTTCGAGTTAGCCCGACTGCATAATGAGGCAGAAAAGCGCCAACGCCAGAAAGACGCTGCCGCCTCCCCTCCCGCACTAGATGTGCCCCCCACATGCGCAATAGCTGTGACTGACCCTACCGGTCCTGTATCGGCCTCTTTTTTCACCTAAGAACTCACCAATCTAGGTGATATCCTGAACAACTCATATCATTGTATCATAGCTGGATGATCGTCATACTCGATTCCGAGTAACAACAAAGAAGTAGGATTAGTAGTAGTAGTAGTAGTAGTAGCAGTAGTAGTAGTAGTAGTAGTAGTAGTAGTAGTAGTAGTAGTAGTGACTATATCCCACCAAATATTGTCCTGTTCTAGAAAATAACAGGAGGGATGGTGTGGAAAAAGGCACCGAAGACTCAGGGAGGTGCCGGCCCTTCAGGTCTGGATGCAAACGGTTGGAGAGTCATCCTCAGCACTAACAAGTTTGGCCCCGTACCAAGTGATCTCTGCACTGCCATTGCCGTCCTTCAAGAAAGATGGCATCCTCGTGCTGCCAACATCTCCATGCTCTGACGGCCTGCCGCATCATTTCCTTGGATAAGAATCCAGGATGTAGGCCTATAGGGATGGGGGAGGTGCTGAGTCGGATCATCGGAAAATGGATAATGGAGGAGGTAAAGGATGATGTCAGGGCAGCAGCAGGGAACCTGCAAGTTTGTGCTGGCCACCAAGCTGGAGTGGAAGCTGCCATTCACGCTATGAGAACGATATTTGAGCAGCGCGATTGTGAGGCCGTTCTCCTGGTGGACTCTTCAAACGCATTCAACATACTTAACTACAAGGCCGCACTGCACAACATCAAGATCAAGTGTCCAAGCTTTGAAATGTATGTTGAAAACTCCTATAGGAATCCATCAGACCTTTATATAGTAAACAACAAAGCTCGAAGAGGTGATACCATCATACAGTCAACCGAGGGAACAACGCAGGGGGACCTTGTTACAATAGCAATGTACGCAATAGGCCTATCCGTGCTCCAACACACAATAAAATTGAAACAACTGAGGTCAAGCAAGTTGCGTACGCTGATGACCTTACAGGAGCAGGAAAAGTGGAGGACATCAAAAAGTGGTGGGACCTGGTAACATCACGAGGCCCACAAATAGGGTACCACCCAAACGCCAGCAAGTCATTCCTCATTGTGAAGCCAGAACATTATGAACGGGCATTGGAGGTTTTTGGCGGAAGTGAGGTCAAAATAACAAAGGATGGCCAAAGACACCTAGGCGCAGTAATCGGAGCGACGGACTTCAAGACCAAGTACGTAACGGGAAAGGTGAATGAGTGGGTTAGGGAAATCCAAGCTCTGTCTGAGATTGCTAACACAGAGCCACATGCGGCTTTTGCGGCATTCACCCATGGAATCAAGCATCGCTGGAACTACCTGATGCGCATTGTCCCTGATATCTGACCGCTCCTCCACCCTCTGGAAGAAGCTATCAGCGACAATTTCATTCCAAAATTAGTGAAACACCTTCATTTAACCCCAGCAGAAAGATCACTCCTTACACTACCACCGAGACTGGGAGGAATGGGATTGACAAATCCAGAGGAGATTGCTGCCACCGAACATCAAAACTCAGTTAAGCTCAGGGCAGCCCTCACTGACCACATAATAGTTCAGAACGCAACAGGGGAGGTGGATACCAGTAAAGTAAACAAGATTCGAAGGTCCATTACGACAGAACGACAGCACTGCCAAAGTGATAAGTTGCAGCAACTGTTGCTGCAAGTACTAGAGAATTTGAAAAAAATAGCTATAGTGCAGGAGGTGGGCGCCTCGAACTGGTTAACTACGTTTTTTATATAGGCAAATGGTTTCAGTCTCAATATACAAGAATTTACAGATGCGAACGTTCTAAGGTACAGTAAGCCAGTAGAAGGTTTGCCCTCCCAATGAGTGTGTGGCTCTTCCTATGACATCGATCACGCCATGGTGTGCAAGAAAGGGTCTTCATATGCATGAGGCATGACGAAGTAAGGGATCTCACAGCAAATAAAATTATGTTGAAGGAAATCTGCAGTGATATCAGGGTAGAACCGACCCTCCTTCCATTGGATGGTGAGAATTTCCAACATAGGACTTCAAACACATCCAACGAAGCCTGTGTTGACGTCAGTGCTCGAGGATTCTGGACGCGGGGACAGCAAGCCTTCTTCGACATCAGGATTTTTTATCTCATGGCCGCATGTCACCGTAACTTAGTTCTTGATGCTGCACACAGGAGGAACGAGAACGACAAGATAAGGGCATACGGGGAGAAAATTCAGAACGTTAATCAAGGCAGTTTTACTCCTCTAGTGTTCTCAACATCTGGTGGGATGGGACCAAGTGCAAGATGCTTCTATGCCAAACTCGCGGATGTGCTATCCGAACAGAAGCAGCAGCCCAGAAGTTATGTCACTGCCTGGATGAGATGTCGACTGTCCTTCTCTCTCCTTAGGTCAGCTTTGCTCTGCCTCAGGGGAACGAGAGCATCGGCCCCAAAGCCGACAACGGTTGCACATATTGACTATGAGGCAACAGTCACTGAATGCCTCATAGATCTGCAGCTCAACTAACTCAACACAGCTAGGATAGCCACTTATGTGTTAGGATATTTAATTTTAAGGTAATAAAATGGTGGCGAAGGTGTGGCTATAGGCGGAGGATAGAGGTGTAATAGGTAGTAGTAGATTAGCTTTAGATCTGGTACTGTGGGAGCTGGTCTGTAGACATTCTTGTGACCTAATGTCGGCACCAACAATGTCTTTTCCACTGTCTTGATGGCCGTTGTACCCGACTAATAAGCCGCTACCTCACTACAGCTGTAGATGTACCACGTGGTCAGGGTAGGTCCTCCAGCTCACACAGGGTGTTGGAGATGGTTTTTGTTCCTCATATGATGTAGTTAAGAATTCATAGTTCCTCACGTGGGTGGAGTAGGAAGTCCTCATTTCTCTCCTGGTGTAGTTTGGAGTGTTTCTTGGCTTCTCATCCAGTGTTGGGGGTGGCGAGTGTACTGCGGGTTGGGTTCGTCAAGTCAAGGTGTCGTGTCAACATTGGCCGCAAAGTACTGATTGTCGCTGTAACAGTTGTTTCTTCCTTTCGAGTTGAAATTGTCGCTTTTGTGTATCAGTTATGGATTGATCGTCAATCTTTGCACTGTACTGATGGTGGGAGGATGTTGATAAATCGAGATGGGGAGGAGGAGATGGGGAAGGGGAAGGGCCCGAAAAACCGGGCTGGGAGCTGTCTCCATGGTCAAGAGACCACGGGCAGCGCCGACTACACACGCCCTTACACTATGAAGGCTGAAGGAAGTGTGTGTGTGTGTGTGTGTTACGACCCTAGGGTAGATCGTTACATAAACACAAATCACTGAAGTCTTTCAAATATATCAGTATTATTTAGTATATTTTTAATCCCAAGTTCTCCCAACAAAGGTCAAGTTAACAGGTCAAAATCTAAACAAGTTAATAAATATATGAACATTTAATATCTTTTTTCCACCACCACATATGTACAAAAAATAAAATAAATAACAACAATAATAATAATAAGATAAGATGTTTGGAAGTGGCTGAGGAAGACTGAAGGTCCAACAAAATCACACAAAATCAATATCAAGCCATAACAAACCTTAATAGTCAAATGCCAACTCCCAAAACACCAGAGAGAGGGTATGCTTCACAGATGTGCCGAGACTGACTACAGTGTACCAGTTGGTCACTGACGCCACCTCTGTACCACCAAATACTGACGTATCATACCAGGATTGGCCAAAACGTAAACTTTATCTAAATTATCATACTGACATTAGTTCCACTATCTAACCTATATACAAACATAATACAATCAAACATAATATAATAAATACACAATGTAATAAAACAAATTTAAAACATAAATGATGGGTCAATCAGTGTGGGCGAGTAATGAGCGACACTGGTCGAGCCAACCACACACCATCCAAACCAACGTATTTCATACCCAGAACAGAAACTTATGGAGGACACTCGTAACAGAGTGTGTGTGTGTGTGTGTGTGTGTGTGTTTCTTTACTTTATACTTTAATTCATTGCTTGCAAACACAGAAGGTAAGAACGCCACGGATTCTTTCATTATCCTCATTGTAATTTTTCACTTCTTCCTCTTTCTTCTACCCTCTTCATCCTTCTTCTTCACTACTTCTCCTCCACCACTCTCCTTCCCTTCCTACGTAAGATATCTCCTACTTCTCTTCTCATCTCCTTCTCTTCTTTCTTCCTTCATTACACTAGTTTTAATTTCCTGCTTTCTATTCATTTCCTTCTCATTCTTCCTCCTAGGACTCAATATCGTTTCCTCCCTTTCTTCCTCTTCCCTCTCCCTCATTTGCCTCCCCCTCCCTCCCTTCCTCCGTCCCTCCAAGCAAAGGGTAAGAGACATCGCTTCCTTCCTTTCTTCCTTTTCCTCCCTCCTTCCCTAAAAGAGATGAGACATGTCTTCCCCCCTTTCTTCCTCTCCCTTCTTCCTCTTCCTCCCTCCATGTAAGAAATAAGAGACATCACGTCCTCCCTTTCTTCGACTCTTCCTCCTCCTCCCTACAAGGAATAAAAGATAACGTTCCCTCTAGAGTTCTCAATTTCTCTCTTGTTCAATGGGTTTTATTGGCGCACGACACACTTAAAGTCGACTCTCTCGTTTCCTCACCAACCTCAGGGGGGAGCAGCCAACAACCTCAGGGGGAACAACCAACAAACCACAGGGGGTAGCAGCCAACAACCACAGGGGGTAGGAGCCACAACATCAAGGGGAGGAGCTAACAACCTCAGGGTGGAGCAGTCAACAACCAGGGGGCAGTCACCAACTCAAAGAGAGCAGCCAACAACCCAGGGGTAGAGCAACAACATAGAGGAGTCAACAACCCAGGGGAGCAGCCAACAAACACATTGGGAGCAGCCAACAACCTCAGAGGTAGCAGCACAACATTAGAGGAGCCAACAACCAGCAGCCAACAGTCCCAGGGGGAGCAGCTATTATGAAGAGGAGGAGCCAACAACCTAGGGGAGAAGCCAACAACCCAAGGGGAGCAGCCAACAACCTCAGGGGAGCAGTCAACAACCTTAAGGGGAGCAGCCAACAACCACAGGGGGTAGCAGCTAACAACATTAAGGGAGGAGCCAACAACCTCAGGAGGAGCAGCCAACAACCACAGGGGGGGATCAGCCAACAACCTCAAGGGGAGCAGCTAACAACATCAAGGGGAGGAGCCAACAACCCAGGGGAGCAGTCAACAACTACAGGGGAGCAGCAACAACCAGGTAGCAGCAACAACATCAAGGGGAGGAGCCAACAACCCAAGGGCAGCAGCAACAACACAAGGAGGAGCCAACAACCTGGGGGAGGGGAGCGCCAACAACGTCAAGGGGTAGCAGCACAACATCAAGGGAGGAGCCAACATCCCCAGGAGGGAGCAGTCAACAACCACAGGGGAGCAGCCAACAACCCCAAGGGGGCAGCAGCAACAACAAGGGAGGAGCCAACAACCCCAAGGGGTAAGCACAACATCAAGGGGAGGAGCCAACAACCTCAGGGGGGGAGCCCAACAACGTCAAGGGGTAGCTAATAACATCAAGGGAGGAACATCCTCAGGAGGGAGCAGTCAACAACCACAGGGGACAGCCAACAACCCCGGGGGAGCAGCCAACAACGTCAAGGGGAGCAGCTAACAACACAGGGGAGGAGCCAACAACCTCAGGGGGAGAGCCACAACAACCTCAAGGGGTGCAGCAGCTAACAACATCAAGGGAGAGCCAACAACCTCAGGAGGGAGCAGTCAACAACCACAGGGGGAGCAGCCAACAACCTCAAGGTAGCAGCTAACATCAAGGGAGGAGCCAACAACCCTCAAGGTAGCCACAACATCAAGGGATAAGCCAACAACCCCAGGGGGGGGGGGAGCACAACGTCAAGTGCAGCTAAACATCAAGGGGAGGAGCCAACATCCTCAGAGGAGCAGTCAACAACCAGGGGAGCAGCCAACAACCACAAGGGCAGGAAACATCAAGGCACTCAGGAGGGAGCAGCCAACAACCACAGGGGGGAGCAGCTAACAACCTCAAGGTAGCAGCCAACAACATCAAGGGGGAGGAGCCAACAACGTCAAGGGGTAGCAGCTAATAACATCAAGGGGAGGAGCCAACATCCTCAGGAGGGAGAACACACAGGGGAGAGCCAACAACCTCAGGGGGGGGAGCTGCCAACAACGTCAAGGGGTGAAGCACAACATCAAGGGAGGAGCCAACATCCTCAGGAGGAGCAGTCAACAACCACAGGGGGAGCAGCCAACAACCTCAGGGGGGGGGAGCCAACAACGTCAAGGGTAGCAGCTAATAACATCAAGGGAGGAGCCAACATCCCAGGAGGAGCAGCAACAACCACAGGGGAGCAGCCAACAACCTTGGGGGGGGGAGCTGCCAACAACGTCAGTAGCAGCTAATAACATCAAGGGAGGAGCCAAATTCTCAGAGGGAGCAGTAACAACCACAGGGGGAGCAGCCAACAACCCTCAAGGTAGCAGCTACATCAGGAGGGCCAACAACGTCAAGGGTAGCAGCTAATAACATCAAGGGAGGAGCCAACATCCTCAAGGAGGAGCAGTCAACAACCACAGGGGAGCAGCCAACAACCTCAGGGGGGAGCTGCCACAACGTCAAGGGGTAGCAGCATAACATCAAGGGGAGGAGCCAACATCCTCAGGAGGGAGCAGTCAACAACCACAGGGGGAGCAGCCAACAACCTCAGGGGGGAGCGCAACAACGTCAAGGGGTAGCAGCACAACATCAAGGGGAGACCACCCTGGAGGAGCAGTCAACCACAGGGGAGCAGCACAACCTCAGGGGGGAGCTGCCAACAACGTCAAGGGGTAGCAGCTAATAACATCAAGGAGGAGCCAACATCCTCAGGAGGGAGCAGTCAACAACCACAGGGCAGCCAACAACCTCAGGGGGGGGAGCTGCCAACAACGTCAAGGGTAGCAGCTAATAACATCAAGGAGGAGCCAACATCCTCAGGGGAGGAGCAGTCGACAACCACAGGGGGAGCAGCCAACAACCTCAAGGGGAGCAGCCAACACCCTCAAGGATAAGCCAACAACCTCAGGGGGGGAGCTGCCAACAACGTCAAGGGGTAGCAGCTAATAACATCAGGAGAACACCAAATCAGGAGGGAGCAGTCGACAACCACACAGGGGAGCAGCCAACAACCTCAGGGGGGGAGCTGCCAACAACGTCAAGGTAGCAGCATAACATCAAGGGAGGAGCCAACATCCTCAGGAGAGCAGCCGACAACCACAGGGGGAGCAGCCAACACCTCAAGGATAAGCCAACAAACCCAAGGGGTAGCAGCTAACAACATCAGGGGAGGAGCCAACATAATTAGGGGGAGCAGACATAACCTCAGGGGGAGAAGCTAACATTATCAAGGGGAGGAGCCAACTACCAGAGAGGGAGCAGCCAACAACCTAAGGGGTAGCAGCCAACAACCTCAGTGGGGCAGCCAACAACCTCAAGGAGCAGCCAACAAACTCGGGGAGGTCAGCACCCGGGAGGGGGGCACAACAACCCTCAATGGGGACACAACAACCTCAAGAGGGGGGAGCACAACCCCAGGGGGGGCAGCCAACAACCCCAGGGCGCAGCCAAAAACCTCAGGGGGTGCGGCCAACAACCTCAGGGGGAGCAGCCAACAACCTCAGGGGGTGCAGCCAACAACCTCAGGGGTGGCAGCCAACAACTCATGGGGGTGCACAACAACCCCGGGGAGCAGCCAACAACCTCAGGGGAAGCAGCCAACATCAAGGGGGAGCAGCCAACAACCTAAGGAGGAGCAGCCAACAACCCCAGGGGGCAGCCAACAACCTCAGAGCAGCCAACAACCTCAAGGGGGAAGCAGCACCATTCTCATGGGGGAGCAGCCAACCCCTCTGGGGAGCTGCCAACAACCTTGGGGACAGCCAACAACCTCAGGTGAGCAGTCAACAACCTCCGGGGGGCAGCCAACAACCACAAGGGGGGTCACCAACAACCTCAGGAGGGGAGAGCCAACAACCCAGGGGGTGCAGCCAAAACCTCAGGGGGAGCAGCCAACAACCCCAGTGGAGAGCCAACCAGGGTGGGCAGCAAACAACCTCAGGGGGTGCAGCCAACAACCCAGAGGGGAGCTACCAACAACTCAGGGGGAGCAGCCAACAACCTCAAGGGAAGCAGCCAACACCAGCCAACAACCTCAGGGGGAGCAGCCAACAACCTGAGGGGAAGCAGCCACCAATCTCAGGGGGGAGGCCAACAACCGGGGGGAGCCAACAACCTCAGGCAGCCAACAAACTCAGGGGGAGCCAACAACCTCAGGGAAGCAGCCACCAACTTCTGGGGGAGCAGCCAACAACCTCAGGGGGAAACAGCCAACAACCAGCTCTCGTCTTCCTAGTAATCTGAAACTCTCCGTCACCTTTAGAGTGCGGTAAGTCTTCCCCTTGTGTTATATATAACATCTCTATAAAGTACAATACCTTCTCTATTACAGTATATCACGTCTCTTTTATATCATGCCTTTATTATATCAAGTCTCTATAATATATCACGTTTCTATTATATCACGTCTCTATTATATCACGTCTTTATTATATCACGTCTCTATATCACGTCTCAATTATATCACGTATTTATTATATCACGTCTCTATATCGCGTCTCTATATCGCGTCTCTATTATATCATGTAACTATAACATCATGTTTCTATTTAATTTCACCTTGATAATATCGCGTCTAAACTTCCTCTAGTTTAAAAAACTCCTGAAGCTGAAACCTCTTGTAATCGAGGCCAATTTTTATCCACACAACCTCTCTGTAGTTCGAACCAATCGGATCTAACTCTCTTTACAATTCGAGCCCCGCCAACTATCAGAGACAGTCTTCCCCTTTAGTAATACGATGCCTTAGGATGTTCCTTGGTATAACCTGACATCTCCTTATAGTAAGAGCCAGTAGAGTGCTCCCATGCCAGATACACAAGAGAGAGAGAGAGAGAGAGAGAGAGCAATTCTACTTATATTTCAAGACAAACGGTTGATGACCAGTTGGGTTGCTTATACTAATAAGACTGTGTACTGTTTGGGATACGCTTAATGGAGACTCTTGAGATTAGAGTTATGACTGGGATATCTCAGAACTAAGACTTTTAAAGACTCATAGGACCTATTATTACTGGGATCTATTAGTACTGGGATCTATTAGTACTGGGATCTATTAGGACTGAGATCTATTTTTACTGGGACCTATTAGGACTGGGACCTATTAGGACTAGGATCTATTAGTACTGAGACCTATTAGTACTGGGATCTAATAAGACTTAGACCTATTAGTGCTGGGACCTGTTGGGATTGGGACCTATTCGGACTGGAATCTATTAGTACTGGGACTTATTAGTAATGGAACCTATTTGGACTGGTAGCTATTAGCTATTAGGACTGGGACCCATAGGACTTGGATCTATTAGTACTGAGAGTTATTATTACTGGGACTTTTTAGTAGTGGGACCTATATTAGGACTGGGAGCTATTAATACTTAGACTTATTAGAGTTGGGATCTATTAGGACTGATATATATTACTTTGTGAACCTATTATGACTGAACTATTAAGACTGGGACCTATCAGCACTGGGACCTATTAGGACTGGAACCTATGAGTACTGGGATCTACTATGACTGGTGAGCTATCGAGGCTGGGATCTATTTCACTTGGTACTACTGGAATGTTACAACAATAATCCACGGTAGAACGTTCGTCTTCTTGTAGTGGAAAAGTTTGTCACTTTTCCTGAGATCATTCTACATAAGTCATCTTGATAACCGCCTTGGCAATACTGTAGACATTATCTTGGAATAATATTTTTTTCGTTCTTTCATGTCTAATGCATGGTGGACTAATGAACACACACACACACAAAACAGCATCATTGTACATTGTGTTTGTCTGGCTGTTGTTTTTGAATTGGCAAAACAAATAATTTTGTCTCTTTTAATTACTGAAATGAGAGTTTAACTTTTTTCCCTAACTTGGTAAAAATAAATATTAAAAAAAAACGTAATTTTTTTCTGCTTAAAATAATTTCATTCGCGTTTCTAAACTGATAAAATGAAAATGGTAAATTCGTTGTTGTATATAAGAATAATTTCCTGAGTCTTTTTTAGAGTAAATAATAACAGTTAGTTGTTTTTCAGTTAATAAAGATACTGTTTACTGAAAATAAAAAGTACAATATTCTCGTCTTTCGGAGTTAATAAAAACAGTTTACTGTAGTTCCCGAGTTAACAATAATGATTTACTTTTATTTTAGCAATTAAAGAAATAAAAATGTACATAACTTTCTAAATTAAACAAACTGGGTTTGTTGTTGTTTCTCAATTACAAAAAAAAATAAAAAGTAAAATAAACGTTGTTTTTTAATTGCTTGAAAAAAAAATAATGTAATTTTTTAAAGTAACAAAATATGTTTTTATCGTTGGTTCTGTATCGGAAAATAAAAATCGAGAAAAGTAAAAAAAAAAAAAAGTTGTTTCTGCTATTTCTGAATTGACCAAAAAAAAATACGACTTTAATATTATTTCTAAATAATCATATTAAAAAGAAAGTAAAAGTAGGAAACATAACAACAGGATTGGCGTGTTGGAAATTTCCACATAAAAAACTATTAATAAAAAACTAATTACCGTATTAGTTTTAACTGTTGACCTCCACAAACACATTAAGAAACAATACTCCTAAAAAAACAAGTATAAAACTCGTCTTGGAAGATGTTTGCAAGAAAAATCTAAATTGCGATAAAGATCTTTCAATAGAGAACTCATTAGCTAACTGACTTAAGCTGTTGACTCTGACTAATCATATAATCTACCCCACATTCTGACACACACACACACACACACACACACTGGAAGGCCCCTGTAAACAACACAATCAAGGCAGCCTCGTACCGACTCTACATGCTACGACGACTCAGGTCACTTAGGGAACCCACGCCAGAGCTGAGGACTATCTACAACGCATTTATTCTCCCCCAAATTAACGTATGCGTCACCAGCCTGGTCGTCTTCTTTCAACTCTACCCAGCAACGTCAGCTAGAGAAGGTACAGAAGAGGGCCTGCAGAATCATGCTCGGCGCAGACTACTCCGGCTACAACAACGCCCTCTCCACCCTGGAAATGCCATCCCTCAGTGACCTCCACCACCACGCACTAGCAGGGTTTGGCAGTGGACTACTGCACCATCCTCTTCATCGCCACCTACTGCCACTTGCAGTCCCCCGCCCACCTCGCACAGTCCGCCACTACTACAAAATTCAGCCCATAGGAGCTCGCGCTGATAGATATAAGAATAGCACCATCCCATCAATTGTTAAAATATTAAACAGCTCCTGATTTATGTACTGTACAGCCCTGTAAATTTATTGAATATATATTTTTATGTCTAAATCACATGTAAGTTATATTTTCAGCCACCGGCTGCAACTCTATTAATAAACCGTTTATTAATATTATTTATTATTATTACACACATGGTGAAGCACTAGCAGCGCATCGTTAAGTGTCCACCTTTTAAGTTGCGACTGTATATAAGTAAGCTACCCAAAGGTAACTACAATCTTAAAGCTTAAGTTTCGTTGAAGCACTAAAGCCGCATCGTAAAGTAATCACAGTCTAAGTACCCTTATATAAGTACCTCTTAAGTTACCACACACACACTTAACGTGCTGTGTCGCTGAAGCACTAGAGGCGTATCGTTAAGTATCCACCTCTAAGTATATAAATACCTTTAAGTTACTACACACTTAACGCGACTTACACGTCTTGACACTTTACTAGCTCATTCTCAGGTGGTCCAGGAATGGGAATGGGAATAGGAACTGAAATAAAATTGAAACCAGTAATAGGAATGGTGGTTTGAATAGCATCCAGAGGGAAAACTAATAATAAGGGGAGACATTGTATTGAGACTGGAAACTGGGATAGTGATAAGAATAAGTGTTATAATATGACGGGATAAGAGTTGGGGGAAAATAGAGAAGGAATATAGGAATAGTGAGAGGAATTAGAGCAATGGGAATGAAAGGAAGAACAGGAAGGAATGGTGAATTTACTGGGAGCGATACAGAGCAGAACAGGGAAAGATTTCACTAGAAGCACTTATGATACTTTAAAATAAGACATAGGTTAAATTTACTTTAAGAAAACGTGATGAAACAGTCAAAGAAAATGAAACGAAACAAAGAAAATGCAATGGAACAGTAAAAGAAAACGAAACAAAACAAAGAACATGCACTGGAACAATCAAAGAAAACGCAAAGAAATGCAATGAAACAGTCAAAGAAAATGCAATGGAACAGTCAACGAAATCGCAATGAAAAAAATAAAGAGAACGCAAAGAAAACGCAATGAAATCGTCAAATAAAACATATGAAACAAAGAAAATGCAATGGAATAGTCAAAGAAAACGCAATGAAACAGTTAAGGAAAACGTATGATACTCTTATAAGAAAAGACGTAACACACCAAAAGAAAACGTATATCATTATTACTACAAAGAAAACGTGATGACACCCTCAAAGAAAACGGAGAGTTGCAATAACGTGTCTTCTTTTACTTCTTTTGGCTGTCCGTCATCAAGGTTTGTAAGGGAGCCCAGAGGTTATTATTCTCAAGACCTGGCCATATCACTCTGCGGCGAGTCGACTGTCCCCTAAAAAATTAGTTGAAGAATTATACACTTTATATCTCCATTAATCATAAGGTAAACACGGGTCCTCTGTCCCATCACCCTCCCACAATACTCACAAAGAAGGGTTCCTCCCTACACCTACAGTACTCACAATGTAGGGTTCCTCCCCACACCTAGAGTACGTACAAAGAAGGGTTCCTCCCCACACCCACAGTACTCACAAAAAGGGTTTCTCCCCACACCCACAGTGCTCATAATGTAGGGTTCCTCCCCACACCCAAAGTACTCACATAAACCGCCCCCCCCCAAAAAAAAAAAATAAATAAAACACACAGAACAGTAGTAACAATTTCACTTTCCTTGGTACAATAAACAAAAATAAAATAAAATTATAATCTTTTATTTCCGTACATATTTATCAGGCCCGTCGCTCCCATGCTCTGGGCAGCGAGTCGTGAACAAGAAAGCCATAAAGTTGTTTCTGTGGCATGGCGGCCCCACAAGTATGTTCCAGCAGCTACAGCATTACACTAACTTACTCCCGGTAACTAACGGTAACTCTGCCTCCCCCACTTCCACTCGTTGGAATTCATGATTTCTACCACAGTAAGAAATAAGTTGATGTTATATGATCGTGTGTGTGTGTGTGTGTGTGTGTGTGTGTGTGTGTGTGTGTGTGTGTGATAGACCAAACTCCAGCGTCAAGCCAACTATGATT